AAGGCAAGAATACTGAAGTGGTTTGCCAGTCCCTTCTCCAGTGGACCACGTTCTGTCAGATCTCTCCAACATGACCCGGCCGTCTTGGGTGGCCCCACACGGCATGGCTTAGTTTCATTGAGTTAGACAAGGCTGTGGTCCTGGTATCAGATTGGCTAGTTTTCTGTGATTATGGTTTTAGTATGTCTGACCTCTGATGCCCTCTCACAACACCTACTGTCTTACTTGGGTTTCTCTTACCTCGGAAGTGGGGTATCTCTTCACCTCTCCCTAAGTTTCAGCTTACTCAGATGATGGAATCAGGACTACCTCGCTTGCATTTTAATAGCTTGCTACTATTTTTCAGATCTCTTGTAACAGCTGGAAGGCAAACCAGCGGAGGTGGGATAGACTTCATTTTAAGTTAAAATTTCTCTATCAGGATGGGGTTTTTTTCAACCCTGTCAGATTAGCTCTGCATATTGATGTGTGAAAACAGTGTTTCAGCATTGAGCTCACCGAGTTTACTCTCATGGGCCCTTCTAGTCAATTCTCTGTCCTTCCTTCCAGGAAATGCCAGTGAACCAACTAGTAAATACCGATGGATCCAGCATGCCAAATGGAATGAGCTAATGCTAAAACAAAAAACAAAATACGTTCCCTGTCAAAGAGGCTAATAATAGGCTAATATAGACATCATTGTCATCTCAAAAGATATCAGTGAAGATAAAACAATAATTTATCTTACTTCAAATCAACATAAATGTGTAAGTAGAAGTGTTGCTGCTGCTGCTGCTGTCACTTCAGTTATGTCCGACTCTGTGCGACCCCATAGACGGCAGCCCACCAGGCTCCCCCGTCCCTGGGATTCTCCAGGCAAGAACACTGGAGTGGGTTGCCATTTCCTTCACCTGTGCATGAAAGTGAAAAGTGCAAGTGAAGTCACTCAGTCATGTCCGACTCCCAGCGACCCCATGGACTGCAGCCTACCAGGCTCCTCCGTCCATGGGATTTCCCAGGCGAGAGTACTGGAGTGGGGTACCATTGCCTTCTCCTAGTAGAAGTGTTAGATTTTTTGTAAAGATATATGTCTGTTAGGAAAGTAGAAAAGTAATATTCATTGTAGCACTGAGCTATCATGAAAGCCTTAACTTTATACTAGAAAAGTACTACAGCACTCAATCAAAACATTTTGCTTATCTTTCAGCTACATAAACGTAAAAATAATGATTTGTAAGATTTAATTTCCCTGAGTTCACTGTTGTGGGAAAAATTATTGGATTACCTAAACTATCAAGCAACTGTGGACTAACTGTTCAATAAGCAACTGCCAAGATAAACGTTGATCTATAACCAAAGTAACAAAACTAGTTCAGAAATGTTTTTATTGTAACATGATTCATCCAGGCTTCTACTAGCCTTCTCCTTGCCAAGTGAGTAGAAGAGACCCAGAGTATCGATCATCCTGGTCACACTGCACAGGAAGAGACTTGGTTTGTCCGGCTGTCACTTTGTCTAGCTCTTTAGTGTTCAAAGGAAATGTGATCTGCCTACTTATGTCACTAGGACTCATGTCACCTGAACTCATTGACCTGCTCTTCAAGCTAATGGGCCATATTCAAAGTCAATTCCCTACAATAGGGCATATTCATCCAAAGAGCTACATCAAGGAATCCAAAGTAGAACATGTGTATTGAAAGGAGTGAACAAGATAACACCTGGGGACGTTAAGGAGAAAGTATTACTTCTGTTTCTATTTGTGTATTTATTTATTTATTTTCTAAAAACTGAAGAGAAATGAGCCTTTAACAGTGGCTAATGTGTGGTTTGACTCTGGCTTCCCAGGTGACTAAGTGGTTAAGGATCTGCCTGCCAATGCAGGAAACACAGGAGAGGCAAGTTCGATCCCTGGGTCAGGAAGATCCCCCTGGAGGAGGAAATGGCAACCCACTCCAGTATTCTTGCCTGGGAAATCCCATGGACAGAGGGGCCTGGCAGGCTTCAGTCCATGGGGTTGCAACGAGTCGGCTATGCCTTAACTACTGAGCACACACTCACACAGCCTCACCTGGACTGCATGTCAGAAAGTCACGTGTATTATTCTGAAGTACTAGCCATAGCCTGTGAGGGAACAGGAGCCCTCCTCTGACGGGGCTGCAGAAGAACTCAAAGTATATTGTTCTCTTGGGTGGGATCCAGCTCTTTTCAGAAGGCCTTATCCCCTCGACTATGGGTGCACACACACATTCTAGCCCCTGGAACCAAGCAGGATCCTGTGGTACCCCCTTGGGTACAAAAGCCTTTACGTGTCCCTATTTCTTTGTAAGAACATGGCTTCAGCCTCTGAAACATTCCCTGAGTTCCGAAGGGCAGATTGAAATAGTTACTAATTAGGGAAAGGAGGAGATGCAGAATCAAAGGAGGAGCAATCAAGAAAGGAGAACAATATACCTTCCCAGGTGGCTTAGCAGTAAAGAATCTGCCTGCAACGCCGGAGACCCGGGTTTGATCCCTAGGTCAGGAAGATCCCCTGGAGGAGGGCATTGCAATCCACTCCAGTATTCTTGCCTGGAGTATCCCATGGACAGAGGAGCCTGGTGGGCTACAGTCCATAGAGGTCACAAAGGGTTGCACACGACTGAAGTGCCTAAGCAGCAGTAGCATACCTGGTGTTTGCAGCTGGCCATTTATAATTAACAAGACAATTTAACATTTAATTAGAATTTACATTCTCAGAGCAATTTCCATAATTAAATAAATGATTGGTATTTAATTTACAATGAACATATTTTGATTCCCCTTGTGGTGATTAAACATTAAAATAGTTGTAGTAATAATGAAAGGTGCTACTAATTGCTCTACAAATAGTCAAAACTTAAATATGTATGTTCTGAATAATCTGTGGTGATTTTAAAATATAAGAACTGTAAATGCCAAATCAAAATCTAGAGGAAATATCTGTAATTTGTTCCAAATTAAAATGTAAGAAAATATATCTATGATTTTTCCCATTTCTGTGTACTACTTTAAGAAAGTCATTCAGTTCAGTTCAGTCACTCAGTCGTGTCCGACTCTTTGTGACCCCATGAATCGCAGCACACCAGGCCTCCCCGTCCATCACAAAGTCCCGGAGCTTACTCAAACAGATGTCCATCAAGTCGGTGATGCCATCCAGCCATCTCATCCTCTGTCGTCCGCTTCTCCTCCTGTCCCCAATCCCTCCCAGCATCAGAGTCTTTTCCAATGAGTCAACTCTTCACATCAGGTGGCCAAAGTACTGGAGTTTCAACTTCAGCATCAGTCCTTCCAATGAACACCTAGGACTGATCTCCTTTAGGATGGACTGGTTGGATCTCCTTGCAGTCCAAGGGACTCTCAAGAGAAAGTCATTAAACCTAAGTAAAAATGAAAAGGGTTCTTTAAAATCATGGCTATTATTTTAAAATATTTAAATAGCATCTAAGTTTTTTTTCTAAATGTTACAAATTCTTAGATGATACTACTGTATGTTCTTTATCCACTGATTATACAGGCTCTTTAATTATGGACTTTTGTCCTAGATTTTCAAGATTTTTTTTTCTTCTTTGCAGTTGGTTGGTTTTGTGTATGCCTGTTATGTGATCAGTATTTTCATGGAAGAAGAGGATACCTGTAAGTATCATTTTATCTGCTTCTGGGTTTATTTTGCATGAGATTACCTTCCAAAACTAATCATTCCAGGATCATGAAATCTTTTATATTTGGAATTTTAAATGATTAAAATCAGCAGAGTAAAGTTACAATCAAACATTTACAAACTATCCTGCACATAAATAAGATGGCACTAAGTATGGAAACTCTCAATCCAAGTCATGCAAAGAGAATGCGGAGAGACAGGGATGCCTACGGATTGCTGCTGTATCATTTTAGTAACTTTTCATCAGACACCTAAGTGTCTTTTGTAGTAGAAAATTAGGGTTGCTTTATCTATCACCAGTTATAAGTATGCTGGCTGCAGAATTTTGAAATCTGACTAACAGCTATAACATCAATAGAATAATATAGTATATCAAGAACTACATATGTATATAAACTCTGTAAAGGAAACAAAAATGACAACCTTCAATGTAAGATGTAAAAAAAGAGAGAGACATGCTGAAAAACAGTGAATGGAATGATAATAAGTAGTCACATTTTAGCAGAACACTAAAAAAAACCAAAAATATATTATTACTGGAAGTTATGTGGAAAGAACCTTAGCAACATAGGTCAACAACTCGCACTTATGGAACACCTGCTAATCTATAAGGCACTTCTTGGCACAATTTCATTATAGTTTCATGTTATACCAAAAAACTTAAATTTGCCTTTTAAGTTTATAATAATAAATTATTATTAGATAAATAAATCATAACCAACCATCCTGGGAATTTGGTTATATCACTGCAGTTACTGTCAGGGTTGTAAAGTTGACTCTTTTTTTAAAAAAATGAGGATAAGTGTCTAGTTAAATGTTACAACTACTTTCTATAACATAATTGCAAAAGAGTGAATTCTTGCCACCAAATAGGTACAGCTCATAGTGTATGAACTGGAATCCAGTTAACAAAGAGGATTTATTTAGTCAACTGGAAGAAATACTAGACCTTGAGATTAAACTCACCAGGCAGTGAAAATATGCAAACATTCCACATCATCTCTTTTGTGTCTGCTTGTGGCTATCTTTTTTAATGCTGGTTGATTTGGAAGGTTTCTGACATTTCATAAGTGCTATTGTAATGACAACACTTCCAACTATGAGGTTAACTTCAAAAAGTATATTTTGAGGTGTTCCAGTTGCAGCTCTGCAATCTTCCAAAGCTTACGTACTGAAAATCTGCAGAATGCTTCCAGTGCACAGCTAAGACAGTCTGCACAGCCAAAAACAACCAGTTGAGCAAGGACGATTTTAACTGGAATTGGGACCTTACAAAATTATTAGAATTGGGGCTGTATAAATGCTTCTCCAAGGCATGATATTAATACATTGATTGATAAATCCCAGCTGAATACCTTATAAAGTACTTTTGAGCAGGTGTCAAAAGGATCTTCTTTCTCCTCACCGAACTGATTGGAGGTTCTCAAATGATGCCAATTCTTCATTCATCCTACCTTCTTGTGTAAGGGCAGGCAGATTAATCAATAGTCTTTTATCTAGTAGATTAAATATATAAAAGACTTTTCCTTGAAGTTTGTGATTTTAAGCTAAATTTGGAAATGCAAAATGACATGCAAAATAGAAGATTCATCTAAACTGAGAGAAAGATTCTTGACCTCCTATCAGCCTTTTTCGACATAATAATGTCAGTGTATATGAATCAGCTTGCTACTGGCAGATATTATGGTTTCATTGATTTTAGAGTCTTTAACTACCTTACGTTTCTCTATAGAAATCTCTGAATCAGCTATTGTAATGCCCATGAAACCATCGCTGAAGCAGCTGCTAGCAGCCTATTCTATTAATGGTTTAATTCTAGTGTTTGTTACTGGGATCATACATTAAGTTACCAAGAGACATCTAGATAAAGTAGTTGTGTTACCATCAATTCAAATAATACTTAGAGCCAAAAGGGTCTTTGGTGCTCAAAATGAGGTAAATACGCTCCAGACGAACCTGACATGATAATTGGCTGGAAGCAAGATGACAGTAAAAAGCAATCACAAACCTTTTAGTCTGGTAGTTCTCAAGTGAGGGTAATCTTACATTTTTTTATTGAGAGAAGTAAGAATCTAAGTGCAGCTGTAATTAAATTGTCCCAGAGTCTTCAGAAGGTAGATGTGAGCAAAAAGTAATGTCTGCAGCTGATTGCATTGATCCCATAGACTAGTGCAATTTATGACAACACTTAGCTGTCAGGTGTAATAATGAACTGCCCTTCGGAGCCACCATTGAGCTAGCGAGAGGGCATTACCAACCTCCAGTCAAGATGTGTCCTTTGAATTGTGTTTCCAAAATGTAAACATCAAATAAGAAAACAATACTGGTAGCCTTTCAGCTTATCTGAGCATACCTCTGGAAAGCTTTTTCTGAAAGATAACTGCAAATAGACAAAGTAATGTCATAGTATTTTGGCAGACAATGTAGCATTTATCATTTCAATTCCTATTCTAACTAATGAAAATCTCTGCATTATTCAAAATGCAAAGTTAAGCCTTGCTCATGGACTGAAAGCTGTCAGCCATCCTTAAAAATTAATAACTACCTGCCTCTCTTCTCTGCAGTGCTTAAGTGGTTCTATGGGACTAACATTTCAGCTGATGGACATTTCTGAAGGGTAATAAATGCTTGAGGAAACATTTATTTCCAGCCACCCATCTTAGTTACCTTTCAGACTCTTGCGCCATTTCCTATATAAGGCTATGATTGCAGGTCAAAGACAATGAAATAAAAAGCTCACAAAAGCAAGAGTGCTGCTATGTAGGGTCAATACTGTTCATCATTCATTCTCATGAAAAAGCCTATTTATCTGTTTCACTTTTTATTTCTTTTTTTAATATCTATCAATCTCTTTGAACACTTTTGTGGGACTGGGATATTTGGAACCTGTATTAATAAAAACATGTCAACATCTTGTTTGTGAACCATTTACTGCTGAAAATGAACTTGTGGGATGGCTACTGTCTTGTCAGTTTTACTAAAAATAGCTTTTTTAATTCAAGGAGGTGTAGAGGGGAAGCAAAGATGCTGACAAATAGTATTAAGTTTATAAATATAGTCAGGTTTTTTCAGAGGATCTTTTGAGAACACTGCTTCATCTGATATTAGGTTGCAGATTGGGAATGGAGCTTCTGTTGGGTTTGAAAAGCCCAGCCTATGATGTATATGTTGAATGGCTGGAGAAAGTTACATTGAAAACCCTAAGTGTTAGATTTTTGAAAAGAAAAAAATTCCCCAGATGTGGGTTCAGTATTTTATTTTGAAAATCTCAAAATACCTCCTTATACAACTGTTTGACCCTTGCTAATGTAGTTTAGGAAACTTTTTATTGGAACGAAGCGCAAGCTTTGGAAAAATAATTGCATATCTGCTGTCCTTGAGACTTCCCATAGGCTAGTGTTCATGTATTTGCCTGTCTTTCCATGAATTCCTGTTAAGAGAACAAGGTGATAGTACCATAGCAATGATGTGAACTAGAAATGAAAATAACCCTTAGGTCCTGCTAAGAATTTACCAGAGAAGCTAATGGGAGGGAAACTAACTAGTTTGAGTGTTAATTTGCAGCTTCCCTTCCTTCCTTTTGTGATGTCTGGAAAAGCCTTAGAGAAAGAATGTGACCCAGAGGTCAGGCAATGTAAATATCAGGTAGCTATTCAAGACATCCTGATCTCTCTGCTCCAGACTAACAGCCCAGGCAGTGTGAAGGCAAGCCCTCTACACAGATGCCCATCAACTCAACAGAGACATGATCTCACCTCCCTACAACCAGGGTCAGACAGGTTGGAGTTCCCTGGATCTTATGGTTACCAAGAGCCCAAGCTGTGGGGCATGCCCTTCCTGAGAAGGAAGACTGAAGGATCCGCCATCCAGATGGTACAGAATGGAAGATGAGAGATTTGGGAGCCAGAGGTGATTATGAGGAAACAACTGAAAAAAAGAAAGTTCACATCCTCGTGGTATCCTAAATGCAGTAAGAAAAAGAAAAGGGGGCGGGGGTGGCGGCCGTAAGGATTTTATGTGGATCCTGGGCAATAGTTTTTATTATTTATTCAATAATAATGTGTTATTAGTGGGAAAATTCAGAAGCCCAGGGGAGAGAGGAGCTAGCAGTGTTCTGACATGGTTCCTTGTATTTCTATTTTAATTCTAAAGTCAGCAGCCCCATCCCAACCCATCCCCATCCTTCTCAGTCATCCAACTGAGCTGCTTAGCCAGCCCTACCGCGGGTATGCTAAGCCCTCCTTTCTCTCCAGCCATCCCTGAGCTGCCTGGCGATCGGTCCCTGAGCGGCAGAGAGGCACGTACTGTACCCACCGACCCTGATGCTGCCCCACGAGGGCGCGTGTGTGAGGACCCCCTCTGCTTCTTCTCTCATGCATTCCAAATCAATTGCACCTCCTGGTCCGTGAAAACTGCAGCCTTAGAGCTCCCTACACTGCGACTTTGGAGTCCTTACTCTCATTTTAGGAATGAGGACACGAAGCCCAGACAGGTGATGTAATTGTAGCATCTTTGTCCTCCTCTGCTCTGCACTGACAGCATCAGACTCTAAGATAGCAAAGAGAAGGCAAGCCAGCAGACGTGGCTTCCCACAGGCTCCTCGGGTCTCTCTCCCATCAGAGGTGTCTGTATTTATCCATGATTTTCTTCTTGATGACACAGAAAAGGGAGGTCTTCACTCTGTCCTGGGGCTCCTGTGGCTCCTCTGTCCGTCCTTCCCACATATTCAGGCAGCTGGCGTCATTAATGATTCTCTCTCCACCTCCCTGGCTTTATCTCTTTCTCCCTTCCCCATCCTAGTTTCTTCCTCTCCTTGGATCTTTTTCTCCAGCTTGTGAATAAAGCTGTGCATGCATGCTCAGTCGCTTCAGTCCTGTCTGACTCTTTGCCACTCTATGGACTGCAGCCCGCCAGGCTCCTCTGTCCATAGGATTTCCCAGGCAAGAATACTGGAGTCGGTTGTCTTGCTGTCTTC